CCTTCCTTCCTTCCTTCCTTCCTTCCTTCCTTCCTTCCTTCCTTCCTATTTGCTCTTCCTTCTTGTTTTTCTCTGTCCTCTCCTTCCCACAAAGTTAGGACCTTGGTGGGACTAACAAGATGAATCAATAAAAGCATCGCTGTGTAAGCATGAGGACTCAAGTTCAAATCCCCAGTACTCATGTAAAAGGGTATACTTAAGGGCCTATAAGGATGATATCTGTGGGCAGATAGGGTAAGACAAAAGAGTCAGGAGGATCTCTTAGGCTTGCCCACTACCAAGCTAGCTCAGTTCTCAGCAAGATAGCATAAGGGAATAAAGCAGAAAATGATAGACTAAAGGCACAGTCTTCCTTTGCTTTGTGTGTGTGAATGCATGCATACACATAAATAAAATTATGTAAACCAAATACCTGATACATATTGTTCCAATCAATAAATTACCAGAGCCCCTTACAATGTGCCCAGCACTCTGCCCAACTCCTGCAGGGAGGTAGAAAAAGCATGATGCCGGTTACCCAGGCTTGATCCTCATTGGCTACAGCGGACTCGGGTTGTGTCCCTTGTCACATATAAACCAATGATAGTAGTCAGAGGATGCTCTGATAGACAAAGCCCTTGGGTTCTGTCCCTTGCAGCCCATGGACTGAGAGCTGGAGATGGTGAGAACTTTGCCAAGGAGAAGGAGACAGGATGCTAGTTAGCACAAACAGTAGTTGTCACCAGAATAACTGGTGGTGCCCCCCCACCCCACCAGCGCCTTGCCCCTGGCCTGGGGAGTGACAGACAGTTGGCTGAGTTCCTGACAAGCAGTCTGGAGTTCCCAGGACTTGGACTGACTGGCAGTTGGCTAGCAAGGTGACAGGCAATTGGCAGGCTCCTAAAGACGGGCGGTCAGTTAGCACCCTGGTGGGCAGTTGGCAGCATGGTGGTTGGCGGTAGACCCAGCCTGTCTGTCAGCCCATCACTGCTGCCCTGAGGAAGAGAGGGAGAGGGACTCTCACCTCCCCACTCCCAGGCTGTCATATGGCGTCTAGTCCACTAGTGGCCCTGGGAACAGCTTTTCCTACTACCCAGACAGAATAGCTGCATAGGCTCTAAAGCTTTTGTCCTTGTTTGGTAGCACTACCACTGCCTAGCAGGGCAAGAGGCTGTTTGGGGCTTACAGTGTCTTCTGGGAGCCATGGGCCACCAGGGTCCCTGGGTGGAAGAGGTTAAGAAATTTTGGAAAGGGTCCTGATTTATCTCTGAAATTTTTGTTCCCAGGGACAGAGGCTAGCCTTGAAAATAGACTCTGCTGGGATGTGTGCTAGGTGGGCGTGGGGAAGGGGTGTGTGTGTGTGAGAGAGAGAGAGAGAAAGAGACAGACAGACTGACTGACTGACAGCAAAACAGACACAGAGGTGCCAGGGTAGCTCCATGGAAGAACAAAAAGGTCAGAACAGCTCTAGAGAGGACCATGACCACAGATGGAGCCAGCTGAGAGGATCCTGTGGATCCAGGGAGAGATTCAGAACCAGATAGAGAAGGAGAAGGAGAGAGGGAAGGGCCATAGCCAAAACTGTTCCATAGAGAAATCCTAGATTCCAAAACTGACTGTGAGGAAACACTGAAACAAGGAGAGGGAGGTGACCTGGGCCAGGACTGGGCGATGGCTAAAACCAAACGGGATTGCATGAGGCCAGCATCATGGATGTGGCCCAGCTCATCTGCACTAAGAGCAGAGCTGAGAACAGAGCCGGGGAAGGAATCCCAGCAGGATGGCTAGAGGCAGACAGAAGCCCAGGGTTTGGTAAAATGGTCAGGGTTGGCTGGTTCCCGACAGTAATGGAGATTGCAGTTCCTGCTTCTAGACAGAAAAGAATGGGTCCATTCCCTGGGGCCTCTGTGTACTGGGACAGTAGGGAGACATGCACCCCTTCCCACAGGGTCCCTTTCCTACCTTTTCTCATGGTGGCTGGAGGCCCCTGTCTGACAGACAGAGATCTCCAGGAGTCAGGGAGTGACCATTGGGCAGAGGTCCCCCAGGAAAAGGAAGTACTGTTTGTCACTGTAGACTTGAACCTCTGAAACTGCCTTCTCTTTGATACTACACTGAGATGGGGTCACCTTGCTATGACTGAAGACTCTGGTGAGGTGGCCATGAGGCAACTGGTCGCTCACTCTGTCCCCTCCTTCCTCCAGCCCTCCTTGCAGCCTTCCAGAATACAGATCTAAATGCATGGCTCCCTGCTTGGAACCCTCAGTAGCTCAGCATTGCCCACAGGACAGGCCCTTTCCAACTCAGCCCAGACCATGATGGCTCCACAAATTTTACTGAATGATCTTCCAGAATTTAAAAAAAAAAAAAAAAAAAAAAAAAGAATCCTCTGGGACAAAGCATAGAAAAAAACCTTTTGTTCTTGTCCACAGGCAGACATGTGCAGTCTCTAGACGCAAAAGCTCTAGTACACACAAAGGTTTGCAGAAAGAGTTATGGCCACATTGTGTTTGTTGAGGGGAGCACAGAGCTGTGTACATTTCTACCTCTTGTAGTATAGAGAGGCTCTGGTTAAGATTCCCTCAGTGGAACATTACACAGCGCTGAAGACAGATGGGTCCCTGCCGTACACGTCAGTACAGATAAAGCTCAAAACACAATACTGAGCAAAAGGAACTGGAGACAAAAAGACTCTTCTCAGAACGGTTCAATTCATAGGAAGTTCAAAACAGGTCTAGTGATTATCTTTGGGATTGATATGGCTGAGGTCCTAAAGGGCTAGGGATATTTAGCAAGAGGATCTTGAACCACAGCCACCCACGTGACACTGACTGGGCCCTATGCTTAGGACTGATTAAAACTCTGACCTCACTGCAGAGAAAACAAGCAGAAACCTCAGTTCATCCAGATTAGGAATAGCACGCAGCTATGGAAAAGAATGCCTGGCTAGGTATGGTGCTGCATGCCTTTAAGTCCGGCAGAAGAACTGTGAGTTCAAATCTCAGAAGCCCATTGAGGGGGGCTGAGATGACTTGTTGTTCAGGCATGAAGGGTCCCCCAGCAGCAGTGGGGGGGGGAGGTCTCATCTGTTAATCCCGGGGCCAAGGAAGCTGAGACTGGAGGATCCCTGGGCTTCCCTGGCCAGCCAGCCTAGCCAAAGCACTCCAGGTTAGGTGAAAGAGCCTGTCTCCAAAAAAAGGTGCAAAGTGATTGGATGGAAATAGGCCCCCCCCACAGGCCCACCGGAAGTGACAAAACTAGGGGTGTGTGGCTTTATTGGAGGAAGTGTATGTAGCACTCTTTTTTTTTTTAATTTTATTTTATTTGGGGGTATTTACGAATCTACCTCCTTTTCTCCAATCCCCCCAACCCTAGGTGGGAGAGAGAAGGTTAGTGGGGAGAGAGGGCACAGACGCTTTTATATCTCCAGGCTGTTTAGAGCTGATGGGTCTTCGGGGGCTATACCATTCTCTGTCAACAGCAAATGCAGCCAGCACTCTCCTCCAAGCCGCTGCACCCCAAAGCTCCAAACCGCCACACAATCTGTCTCTCAGGTCTCTCCAAACTGCTCCATGCCACAGGCCAACACCGCAGGCCACCTCATGCCTTCTCTTTCTGGGCTCTCAGTTTATATCCTCAGAGCCCTAGACCACGCCCCTCTCCCTGCAGCAGGGTAGAAGGCCGCTACCGGCTGGCAAAAGCTGTGCCCTGCACTACACAAACTATGGCCCAACTAAAACCCCACACTGGGGATTAAAACAAACCGTATTTATATAGCATACCTGAGTTGTTGTTTTTTTTTAAGAAACCGAAACTTGCATTACAAGTGTGTCACCAGGGTTTTCCGAAGCTCAAGCCAGACCCAGCTGATCTGGATGTAGAACTCTCAGCTCCTTCTCCAGCACCGTGTCTGCCTGCAGGCTGCCATGCTTCCCTCCATGACGATAATTGGACTAAACCTCTGAACTGTAAGCCAGCCCCAATTAAACGTGTTCCTTATAAGAGATGCTACAGTCATGGTGTCTCTTCACAGCAATAGAAATCCTAACTAAAACAATACCCAATGTCGACCTCTGGCCTGCACACGCACGCATACACGCATACATGTACAAACACACACACACAGAGAAAGCATTCTTGATATCGCTCGTTGGCTACAGAGAGGTGTGTGCCCGTGCCTGGGAGGTCCTCTTTACCACCACAACAAGCCATGCTCTGACCACATGCACCTGTGCGCGCACAAGTCAGAGCAGGGAGTGCAGGAAAGGCCTCGGAGGCCCGGAGGTGGCGGGGACAGGACAGTTTGTCCTTTCTGTGTCTTTATTTTACCGGTTGCTGGGAGCATGTGACTGCCTAGCTGCCACAGAGACAACTACAGGAGAATAAATGGGAGACAGGAAGGTTCCTAGTTTGTTCATTACTGGGAGAAACACCATGGCCAAGACCAGTTTGGGGAGGAAGAGGTTCGTTTGGCTCACACTTCCAGGTCACAGTCCATCCCTGGGGGAGGCTCGGCAGGGGCTCCAGCAGGAATTGAAACAAGTGGCCACAGAGGAATTCGGCTCCCTGGCTCATGTCCACCTTTCTTCCACAGCCCAGGCCCAGCTGCCCAGGAGATGGTGGCATTGCCCACAGTGCTCTGGGCCCTCTCACACCTGTTCACAATCACAAACATGCTCCACAGCTATGACCCCAGGCCAGTGTGATGAGCGCAGCTCTTCAATCCTCTCTTCCCAGTTGTGTCAAGCTGGCCACAGAGATGGGCTGTCATAGAAGGTGAGTACGGGGCTGACCACACTGGCTAGAGGGGCAGGGTGATCTAGGCTGCAACAATAATGAGGAGACCTAAGGTGCTGTCTCGGCTCCCCAGCTTGTCGCCTTGTCACAGCCTGGATGAAGAAGGATCACTACTGCCAAGACTGCACGCACCCCTCTTTCATGTGAGAAAGAACAGGGACTGGGCCAACAGGATGACGTAGGGTCAGACGACAGCTGTCAAGGCCAGCCCCCTGAATTCAATCGGAAGGTCCCACATGACAGAAAGAAAACCAGTCCCCACGAGTTGTTCCCTGCCCATCACACGTGTGCTGTACGGCATGCACGCGCTCACCACCTACTGTAAATAAGTAGAATAGGGTGAAAACAAGGCGAGGTGGAGAGGGAGAGAGACAGGTACTGCGAAAACGCGGGTCTACAGGCCTGCTCCGAGTGACTGAGGACAGATGGAAGTCACAGAGGGAAGGAGGCTGGCCTTCCGTCTGACACCAGGCCCGTGCGTCCAGCTGCAGCCCTAGGCCGGGATGACAGATGGCCACGAAGGAAAGGTCACCATCTCCAGGGCCATTGTGTTTTTGGTGAAGGCAGCGGGTGGGACATCTTATAGGCCTCGGTGGATGTCTGGCCTCTGAGGCCCCAGACCTCGTGGCAACTGGACTTTATTTTGGTTGCTAAAGATGGGGAGAAGACCTCGGCCATAAATAACTGCTGTCCAGGCAGCAGGGCCTCTCCCCCAGGCAGCCTTAGGCCCCAGGCTGCTTCAAGGCCAGCATGTTCCTGACTGGCCACGGGCGGGCCGAGGGATAGTGGTGGCCCAGGAGCCCAGTGGGGAGGCGGGGGAGAGAGTCAAGGGGTCTCGGGGCCTGGGTTCAGAGTGAGGTTAGCCAAATAGTGGATAAATTAAGCAAAGGAAACAGACAGCTCCCCTCGCAGCGAACTTTTCACCCAGCTAACCTGCTCCTCACCCACTCTCAGGTGGCGGTGGCGGCTCCCACCTCGGGGCTGTCACCTCTCCTGGGGGAATTGTCACCTGCCTCCTTCCCGAGTCCCCCACCCCCACAGGCCCAGGTGAGAATCTGAGAATGAAGGCCCCAGGAGGGAGCAGCTGCCTCATTTAACTAGTCGGTGGGCTTCCCTCCCTCCCCCAAGTTCACGGTGGGTAGGACGGCCTTGGCTTCCGCTCTCACCACCAGGACCGGGCCAAACAAAACAGGTGGGCTGTCTCATTTGACGTGTGGCATCTTCCAAGCTCAAACCCCAGCCGTTCTCAGCTTCCAGCTTTGACACCCTCTAGGCCACCCACTTTCTTCCTGAGCAGGGGAAGAAGCTAAGCGCACTAGCCCCAGATCTGGGATCCTGACTCAGAGAGGCTTGTCCTCAGCTAGGGCGCCTCCCTGCACCAGGTCCTCTGGGCAGAAAGGGCCTCTCAAGCCACCAAGCCACAGAACCTGTGACAAACAGGGGCCAGTGTGTCAGGGCAAGCTGGCATTACAGGGTCCTCCTGGGAAGGAAGGAGAGAGGCATGCTAGTTAACCTTCATTTTCAAGGTTACTGGATTTAGAGTCACCACAGAATCACACCTCTGGGCGTGTCTCCGAGTGTGATTCTAGAAAGCTCTGACTGAGTAAGGAAGACCACCCTAAATGTGGTCGGGAATATCCCAGGACTGAAGAAGAGGAAATGGCGCTGAACACCAGCATGCATCGCTCTCTGCTTCCTGACGTCAGAGGGATATGACCAGCTGCCGTGCCTGCCTGCCACTGTGCCTTCCAGGCATGACAAACTGCCTGGAACTGTGAGCTGAAATAAAGCCTTTCTTCCTTAGGTTGCTTCAGGGGTTTTTGTCGCAGTAAGGAGGGGGACTGCAGAACTGCTGGAGGGGACCCCAGGTCCTCACTGTCTCATCACCAGCGCACCCAGCCTAGCTTCACGGTGGCCCTTGGAGGATATGGCACAAAGTGAGTTGGGCTGTGGTGAAGGGTGAGCCCATCCGGGCTCCAGAACATGACCTGTTGATTCATTAGAGTAGGGTTGTGGGGACTGTGGCTGGGTGACTGCAGTCCTAATGACAGTGGCTAAGTGAGGAGCTGGCCAGGCCTGCTTATCTAGAGGTAAGGGCAGGGGCTGAGGCCAGGGTCACGAACTTGGCTCTTCAGCCTGGTCTTTCAGCCTTCTCAGCAGAATGTCCACCTCACATCTCTCTGACAGGGCTCCATCTCACCTTCCAAGGACAGGGAAAGCCCTTCAGGAGGATGGCTGTCAGGATGGAGCAGCCAGCTCTGCCACTGGCATTTGTGACAGACACTTTCTACCCTGAGCGCAGTTCAGTCTTCTGGGAAATGGACACTGAGCTCCAGTCTTACTGGGGTGGAGAGGAAACACAGCAAACAACTGCCTGGGACATCCCTGTCCCCAGAATAGATGAACTAGGAGAGCTGAAGACCCAGCCTGGAGCTGGAAAGAAACTGGAAATGCTTGGCTTCCATCCTCACGGTGGAAGACTTCCAGATGCAGCCAGCGCACCTGGAGTGCATGAAAGCCTGAATCTGTGGTCACAGCCGCTGCCTGGGACTGTCTCCTAAGGATGCTCCTCAGTCCTGGCAGGGCTAAGATCTTTGTAGGAAGGAGGATCCTCTCCATCCCACATACCTTCCCCTCTCCTCCCATCTGGTGTCCCTACTTCTTTGATGGAAGACTCTGAGATGCTACCTGTGCCTCTGCAGAGCGGAGAGCCATCTGTCCCACCTCTCTAGTCAGGGGTTAGACAATATAAAGAACAAGGCCACGTGGGCTGTGTTCCTGAGGGGGGCAGGGCAGCACAGGCCAGCCCTCTTATCTCTTTGCTCCTTGGGGGTGGCAATCCTGTAGGCCTGGGGACAGGACCTGTTGGGGGGACTCTGCTTGTCACCTGCCTTTCCCAGGCCATTGCCATGAGCTTGGGCTGCAAGTGGCTTTTGGACAGTGTGATGATTTCTGGGCTTCTTGGAGTTTCACAAACTGCTGTTGTTCCTCTGCTCCCTCACATGAGCTAAAGTCTGCATTTCTGATGATGCTCACAGTGTGGTGATCAGCCCCAGGCTTGTCATACACTAGGCAGGTGGGTGGCCCACCTGCTGAGCTCCGCCCTAGCTTTAAAAATGAATGCTGGTGGAAGTGATTTGAGCTGTGATTGGCCCCCTCACATGAGGCTTCTGAGAGGCTCTTCCCAGCCCACCTCATTCAAGATGCATTTGTTCTCTGTTCAAATGTCAGGTGAGAGAAAGCGAGGGGGGGGGGAACGGGGGGGGGGAGTAGTCTCACATTAAACGTGTTTGACCCTTTGGAAAGCGCTACTTAAAAACAAACAAACAAACAAAAAAGGGACATGTGGGCTGGGGAGGCAGATCAGTGTGTAAAGAAAGCACTTCCCAGGCAAAAATGAGGACCAAAGTTCAAGTCCCCAGAACCCGCCCCAGAGCTGGATGCAGCAGCAGCATCTGTAATGCCAGTGTCCATGCCACCGGTGAGATGGGAGACCCCATTACACTCAGGAGCCAACCAGCCTGGCGCAAACAGCAGCAAAGAAACTTTGACACAGGCGACGACTCCTGTGTCAAACAAAGTGGAAAAGCCAAGATCCAACACCCAAGTTTCTCTTCTGACCTACACACACATACACACACTGTGCTCACATACATGAACACATACACATACATGTGCACATACAAAGACTTTTTTTTAAGTAGGTCATATGGTCAGTGAGGAAAGGCATGTTCTCTGGAGCTGGACCTGTCATCCGACAGTGGGATTTCCCCTGTGGACCACGACCTTTCTGCTTCCCGTGTTTCCCACAGTTCCTGGGCCAGGGGCTTCCCAGAGCAGATGATCCATCCACAGGCTCATTGTTTCAAAATACTTTTCAGTATTATTAAAAAGACAGTGTTGTGACAAGAAAAAGGGGAAAATGAAATTAGGCACTCGCCAGTTCTGAGAGAGCCAGCACAATTTTCCTGTCCCCTCATGGCCCTGCTGAGAGCAGGCAAATCTGGGCATGGCTACAATCTTCTTCTTTTCATCCTTTCTCAGTTTATCATTACTATTACGATGATGATGATGATGATGATGATCCTGCTGCTGCTGTGTGATGGGTGGGTACCAGTGTGCATGTGGAGGTCAGAGGACCACTTTCAGGAGTCGGCTCTCTCCTTCCGCCTCTGTGTGGGTTCTTCAGATTGAGCTCAGGTCTCAGGCTTGCGCAGCAAACATGTAACTGCTGAGCGTCTCACAGCCCTATAAATCCTTTTCTTATTTACTTGTTCCTAATATGCACGTGTGTGTGTGTGTGTGTGTGTGTGTGTGTGTGTGTGTGTGTGCGCTCGCGTATGAGAGAGAGGGGAGAGGGTGTGTGCCTGCATACGGAGGCCAGAGGCAGCCTGTGATATTACCCTCCTCAGGGACACTGCCTAGTGCCTTTGGGACAGAATCTCTCATTAGCCTGGAGCGTACCACTTCAACTTAGCTGTCTGGTGAGCCCCAAGATTTCCCAGTGCTGGGATTGTAAACGTGCACCCCCTTGCCTGTTTTTTGTTTTGTTTTTTTTTTACGTTATGCAAACCATCACACCTATTTTATTTACCTCTAGGATTTTTTTTTATTTTTTTTTCTTTATTAATTACACTTTACTCACTTTTCATCCCCCCCATGGTTCCCTCCCTCCTCCCATCCCAATCCCTGCCATCCTCCACCCTCTGCCTGCATGCCCCTCCCCAAGTCCACTGATAGGGGAGGACTTCTTTTCCTTTCTTCTGATCCTACTCAGTTAGGTCTCATCAGGTGTGGCTACATTGTCTTCTTCTGTGGCCTGGTAATGCTGCTTCCCCCTCAGGGGGAGGAAATTAAAGAGCAGGCCAATCAGTTCATGTCAGAGACAGTCCCTGTTCCTATTACAATGGAACCCACTTGGATACTGAACTGCCATGGGCTACATCTGTGCAGGGGTCTTAGGTTATCTCC